CGGTGAAATTCTCCGCCATGAACCTGAGGGGCCTCTTCCAGGACTTCAACCCGAGGTGAGGCGCTGCAGGCGGGGCTCTAGGGAGGCGCATAGGGCTCTATGCTGCAGTGGATGGCCAGGCACCTGCAGCCCCGGGCGCCTGCCTGAGCTTCCCTGCGGGTGTGAGAGACTGGGAAAACTGTTGGTCTAGGTACAGGCCCGCTTCCTCCTCCCGCGCCTGGTGCCTTCAGTCCTTCTGGCCCACGGCACAGTCTAGAGTCACCTGGCCAGGGCCTCCGCCCAGCCCAGAGGGAATTCCGTTCTTCTCATCATGTCCTCCCTCGTTGCTGTCCCAACTTCCCCCTCTCCATTCCAGCTTCTTGCACCCCGCTGCCTGCCCCCCATTCCCCGCGCCAGGGCCATTTCACTTCCCCACACACCCCTACCCCCAGGTCTTCTCAGGTCCTTGAGATTTTCCTTTAGAGGTAAGCCCATTCCTCCCTTGTTTGCTTCTTTGTTGGGCCGATATCTGAAACGTTGAATCCTTGGAGTTACTGTCAGAGTATGGCTATACCTTACGTAATGCCTTTGGGGGTGAACCTGACAGTTTTCCATCCGCGTTTTCTCATATGTTCACTGTAAGTTTTTTTGCAGGAAGTAGATATTGCTGTCCTGTATCCCAGTGGGGGAATATCAGTGGACAGTGTGGAGAGAACGCTGGCTAAGGAATCAAGCATCTGTCCTTGCACTTGCCCAAATGTTCTGTAACTGTTCCCTCGGCCAAGTTATGAGCCCCCTGAAGCAGAGACTATCTCTTGCTCATCTCACTATCCTCAGCACCTCCCACTGTGTCTCACAAATTAACACTTATGAAATATTAGGGAACTAAACCAGGCCAGCAGACCTGGATTGGAGACCAGGCCATATATAATTAGGTTATTCTCTGTTCATCTGAAAAATAAGGAGTTGGCCTAACTGATCTCTTAAGCCCACTACTCTATGAAGGGTGTATGTATTTTCCTTATTTGCCATACATTCAATAAACCTGTTGTATGCTAGGTTTTATGCCAGGTGCTTCAGATGCTAAGAGGTTCCAGTTTGGGGGTGGAGAAAGGCATGTAAATAGACGGTTTACAACACTGTGCAGTATTGTACTGTGGGAGCCTAGTGGAGCCCACTTCTGGGTCACTTGTAGGGGATGAAAGGAAGATGGGGGTGGGGGAAGAAAGAGAGAGAGTGTTGGGAGGGCAGTCTCCTGAGAGACAGTGACATTTTAAGCTATGAGCCATTGTGACTTCCTAGGTGATTTTGTTCCACTTTGAGCACAACTGAGTTCATATTTGGGTCTGGAGTGCCAATGTTCCAATCAGTGTAGTCATGGTCATGTTGGCCTTGAAGGCACTCTGCAAAGAGGATCTTGTTGAAAGCAGATAATGGAAAACAAACTTCAGTGTCTTCCTCTGCTGCTTGTAGGAGTTAGGGCTGGTTTTCAGGGTAGCCAGATTGGTGCTGGAGTTGGACAGGCCTTATGTGTTTGCATTGTTTGGTGAGGGTGATAAGAAAGATAAGTCAAATCTGAATTGTTTTGCATCCTTGAACCACTCATTTATCTGTCCATTTTATCTGTAGAATGAGTATAATCCCTCAGCAAGATAGAGAGGCCAAATTAATGATTGACTACAAAGTGCTTTACAAATAGAAAGATCTAGGACTATTTTGTAAGGTGATAGATAATTCAGAAGCCACAAAGAACTTCAAGGAGTGATCTAACTGGCTCTCAGGTTGCCAAATCAAAATAGTGCTGCACAGATAACATCTTTAATAATTTTTTCCTATAGCTTCTCCTCCCCCCCAAAAAATTGGTACATGAAAATTACAATGAAATATTATATATCTAAATAGATTTATAGTGATCATCAACATATTTATCAATACTTTAATTCTACCTGAAAAGTTTAGAAATTTTTATAAAGTGTCATTTTCCTGAATCAGTGGGAGTGATAGGTGTTACCCCACAGTGGTACCTGCTAAGACAGGGAACATTGGCAAGTCTGACATTTTTTAGCTGGTGGTATGTCATGTCTTGTGGGCATGCCTAGTTTTTGACATTGTTCTTTAGTCTTGTTCCATGAGGAGGATAACCCTCCAGACAGCTGGAAAGCAAACTGAGGGATTTAGACAAGAGATATCTTGTGCCAGGACCTCAAATCTTACTGCTGCTGCCTTGCTCCATGCGTCTAATTCAGAGTCAGTTGAATATCTGCTTCCTACCTCAGGATTTTGGCACATGCTCTACTCTTTGCTGGGAATGTTTCCCTCTCCTCTTTTCTCCTATCCTCCTGACCTAATTAACTCCTGTTTGTCCTTGAGATCTCAGGTCACTTGTTACTTGCTAAGGGAAGCTCTTCTGACTTCCCCAACCAGGTCCACTGATTCCTGCTTTTATGATCTGTGTAGCATGCTGTTCTCCTCCATTGTAGCACTTATTTGTACCCTTATATTTGTCTGTATGTTTATTTGATTAATGCCTGTCTTCCCTACTAAATGCTCTCCTACTATACTTTCCTCCTATAATCTCCATGGGGCCAGGGCCAGGACTCTGTTCATTATGGTACCATGCATACCTGGGATAGTACTTGGCTCAAAAATTAGTTGTGGAATTAATGAATGAATTACTCTCCATGGCCTATGAGAGAAATCTAGAGCTGCTTCTTTCAGCCACTGCTTTTCTGGTGGTCTGTGGCCAGGTTCTCTTTCCTCTCATCCTTTTCCATCCTTCAGAATGCAGCCATTCCACTGCAGAGACAGGAAAGGCCATGACACTAAGGTAGAATGTGGTTGCCTTTGCCTTGTGGATTATGTGTGTCAGAGAAATAGTCACTATCATAGTTTGGTGGGTCCCAATTCATGGGCCATGGCTCCAGATCTCCTTTCCGACCTTTTAATCTTGGTCCATCTCAACCGGTTGCTATATTGCCAACACTCTGAAAAAAGTGTCAACACAACACTCAGTTGCATAAGACTGCCAGTTGACCCTCTCCCTATTTCCATCTGGCATAGAACTGGTTGGTCATGAACTTCTTTTTAATTACACAGGTTAGGACTTGCTGAAACAGATTTACTGGACCCACCAAGTCTTTCCTTGCATGCCCCAGGCTTCCTAACATCTAGGGAGCCCTATTCATTGAATTGGCAAACTATTAGAAGTATACAGAATTGGCAAACTCTGACTCCAAGGTGTTCCTAGGAGGTAGAGATCTGGGCGTAGGTGGCATTAAGCTGGTACCCTGCCCTCCCCATGGAACATTGGGATTTTCTGCTATCTTGGTGGAGTTGCTGGCTCAGGGAAGGACTTTCAGCCCTGGTAGCCAAGCAGTGCTTGAAAGCTGTGAGGACTCTGCTAGGCCTTCTGAGTAGCCTGCAGTGTGCTCCTGACGGAGTGTGGTGTATCCTACAGGTGTGCTGGACTGAGAAAAAGGCTGAGGAACCCTGCCCTAGGGATTCCTTCCAATGGGCATGGAGTACTGAGGAGGTTGGTAGTGTTTAGAAACTTCCATGTGCTACAACTTCTAAAGTTATTCTGGAGTCTAACTTATCTTGTCTCTTATTTGAAGTCAGGAAAAAATGAAATGTGATTGCTGCAATTATTAACAAAAGGCAGCTACCTTGCCTTTAACAGTCTGTAAACTACTTATATTTAAAACATTCATTACTCAAATATCTCCCGAGTTCCTACTGTGTGCCAAGAGATGTGCTATGTGCTCTAAGTACAGAAACAAATGGGATATAGTCCCTCTCCATGTTCAAGCCCAGCTGAAGAAACAGAAATGGAAAGAGAAATTACAGTTCAACACAGGATGAGGTATTCCACAGGCAGGAACCAAATGCTGTGGAAATGCAGGAGGCAGAGCCACTAATTCTGTCTAGAGCAGGCAGGGAAAGTTCCACAGCTTGGTCTTGAAGGTTATAATTGTAAGGTTTTGTCAGCCCAGAGAGCAAGGAAAGACACAAAGTATGCAAAGGGAGGGTGTGGTATGTTCAGACAGTGGTGAAAGGTCAGTGTGCTGGGAACACTGCTGGTGACACATGTCATGTAATTTAAAAATACTGTATGTAGTGTTAACAATTACTTAACATATTATTTTAGAAACTACAGCACTGAGTGTATGTTGGTACTGTTAATGAGCTACTTGCCCCCCAAATGTCTGTTTACCTGTCATTCTGCCATCTCAAAGCATCTATAGTAAGAAGTCCCTTGATTATACTGAGGTTATTAATAATAGCTGTGACTTATGGGGCACCTATCACATGCCAGGCACAATGTCAGTACTTTGTGTCTATTATCTCAAATCTTTACAACAGCCCTGCAAGTTAGATATTAGCCTTATTTTGCAGTCTTAGAGAGCTTGTGACTTCCATAAAGTCACACAGGCAGGAAGGGGCCAAGTCAGGATTCTAAAACAAGTAGGTCTCCTGAAGCCTGTGCTCTTTCCTGAATGTCATGCTATCTCTCTAATTTAGTGACAGGCCCCACCCCCACCCCATGACATAGTATGTCCAATATACTAAGGAGCCTTCTATTTATGAGTTGTAAGTGATTAAACAAAGGGAACCTTATTCAGAGTTTACACATCCAAATGTATATTATCCTTCAAAGAAGTTATGTAGGGAAAAGAGAAATATATACAGAGTGGGGCAAAAGTAGGTTTACAGTTGTTCATATGGGAAATAATACAATAATTAATATTTTTAGAAACATTTTTAACTTTGATTTCAGAGGCACAAAGTATGCAAAGGCATGGGATTGATAATAAATAATATAAGAATGAATTATTTTTTTACATCCTCACAACTGTAAACTTACTTTTGCCCCACCCTGTATGTATGTGTGTGTGTGTGCATGTGTGTATATATGTGTATGTGTGTATATATATGTGTATATATATGTATACATATACACACACACACACACACACATATATATATATATATACACATATATATATATATATTCCATTGCTCACATTCCTTTTTGCATATCTGAAATTTCCTTTGGAGTCAGATTACAAATCATAT